GGGTCAGGTGCACCTTAGTCTTAAAGGTGACATCTTTGCTTTTTAACACTTTAAAGAGGTCTTTTGCAGTAGATTTGCCCAATGCAATGCGTTGTTTAATTTCTTGACTGCTGCTTCCATGGGCGTTGATTGTGGATCCCTGTAAAATGAAATCCTTGACAACTTCGATCTTTACTCCGTTGATCATGATGTTGCTTATTGGTCCAGTCGTGAGGATTTCTGTTTTCCTTATGTTGAGGTGTAATCCCTACTGAAGGCTGTAGAGTAGAGGTTGGTAGGGAGCTCTTAAAAAGATGGCCCTTTTCTGGCGGCATCTGGATGCAGCTAAAAAGAGGCTTTGTAAAGCTGGGAGGCTCGTGGAGGCCGAGCTTGCCCTCTCTCTGCCCCCCTCAGACCATGCCTGTTCCTATCTGGAATCCTGCCCATCCCTGTCCCCCACATCCTCTTGCAAAGGAGATTGGTTGGCTTGCCCTTTGCAATTTGGAGCTTAATGCCAGGGCTAAGTGAAGTCTTCAAGACACACGAATGTGCAATCAATAGTTCAGGAAACACAGCCACACAAAGGAGCCAGCAGGCCCACGAGCACACCCTCCTCCTTTCTTTTGAAAAACATCATTTTTTGGTGTGCAATTGCTCAGATCATGAACACCTACTCCTCTCATCCTGCGAATGTGCCCACGTCACTACCTGCCACAGCACCTGAACTAAAACACAGAGCAGGGCTGCAGTGCCCCCAGTGCTGCCCCACAAGCTCTGCTGGAGCTGTCTGCGCGGCACCGTCACCACCTCCGAGGCACACTGGGCCCAGGGCTTTCCACTTTCCCCCTGGACAATTGGAATAACTCCTCCACACCGGCAAGCCTGGCCTGTGCAGCGTGGCTCGGATGCCACCTTTATTAATTCCTCATCCTAATTAGGATTGATGCTGCGCTTAGCATCTTGCCAGCTGCCTCGAGCCATTTGCACTCCGTGTTCGTCAAGAGAGCCCCAAGGTGATCTGGGCAGCTGGCTCCGCTGGCGGGGGAGGGGGAGGAATTGCCATCTGGGGGACTTCACTGAAGAAACTGGGCTGCCTCTGTCATCCCCACAACCTCTGGGGTTCTGAGGGCCAAACCAGATCACATCCGAGGGTCAGAACAGCCTCAAGGGACCCAGGGCTGGGAGAGCTCCTGTAAGGTTCCTTGTCCCCACTAGAATCCACTTGACAGTTCCTCCACCTGGGTGGTAACTGCCAACTTCTAAGAGCGCATGGCGAGGCCGACAGCTCCAGCCCTCTGACACATCCTCCGACACCGCCACCTGCCCGCAAGTGGCCAGGGCACAGTCCTGGACAGCACATTAACCCCAGGCCACTCCCTGGGGGCGAGGGGGAGGGGAAGCACCTC